GTAACTTACTATATTGTCACGCAATGTACTTGTATTTTGGTGTTGATTCTGATGCGAAACGGAGTCAACATTTGAGCGTTGACATGATGAGTCTCTCAATTCAAAAACTTGAACTCTTTCCGTCACGAATTCCGTGGATTCAATCCTGTTATTAAGAGTACTTTGCACGGAAGATGCCGAACTGTTTCTTCGTAGATTTCTACTTTGTAGCAGTCGATAGATTGGGCTGGAAACCGCTGGGGAATTTGACCTGCATTTTGTATCCAGTAGTGGAGGCTTGATAATTGTCAGTGGAAACTCCGCGGCTAAAGCCCTTCCCGTCGGCATTCTAGGCAATATGGCTGTTGCGCTGTCTAAAGGAATCATTATTTTATAAAGTGGTACAGATAACCAGCTTCATGGAGTTGTGGAATACGGAAATCTTTTGCCTTTCCTACATGTAACACCATTATGTTTTGGAATTTGAAGCTCTTTAACAACGTTGCTATGGGCAACCAAGTGGAACCTGTGTCAGGTAACCTGGCTTTTGATTGAAGCCGCTGACAGATTGCAGTCTCGTGTAGAGACGAACGAAGCAAGCACGTGAAAATCTTCCACAAATATAAACAGATTTTTTGTTAAAATGAGGCCTTTAACTGAAGAAGAAACACGCAGCGTATTTGAAAAACTAGCAAAATAGTAAGTGGCGTGATTGATAGTCCATGTTGTTTATCTTGATCGTTTCAAACGCATGTAAACTTTCTTTAATTTTCTTGAAGCTGCAGAAACAAAACCGCACTCAACAACTTGAACTCGAACTCAAAAAATTTATAGATGTCCCTTCAAAGCTTCCGTACAAAACTGCATTTTTTCAAGCTTAAAAGTTTTTTTCTTTCACGATGATTTTTTAGTATTGGAGACAATATCAAACTTCTCATAGATAGACCAGATGGAAATTATTGTTTCAGACTTCACGAAGAACGAGTTTACTATGTCAGGTAGGTTGAAATTTTTATCTTTTAGATAAATAGAACTATTTAAAAACTGTGGAGCTCCGACATTTACACGTTTTAATTAAACTTCCCTAAGGCCCGTTTCAAACATCGTGCTACTGCCGTGCCGAACTCAGTTGCTCGAATTAAATTCGACTTTAGCACGGCAGTAGCGCGACGTTTGAAACCAAGCCGTGCTACTGCCGTGTAGCACGGCAAGCCTTGCCGTGCTACACGGCAGTAGCACGACTTGGTTTCAAACGTCGTGCTACCGCCGTGCTGAACTCAATTCATAAATTATAAATACATTAGAATACATTTAAAGTTTGCTAAACCATTTCAATATTTTTGTGTTATGTTTTCGGCAACAACCGTTCTATTCGACTGAATTAAATTCGACGTCTGAAACCAAGTTGTGCTAGTGTCGTGCTGCAGTCGAGCTACAGTCGAGCCAGCTTGGCACAGCAGTAGCACGACGTTTGACACAGGCCTAAGGTTTAATAACCATCCAAAATGTTTAATTTAAGTTGGCACCTATGACATGGTTTCTTAAAAGAGTTCTCCTTAAAAGACATCAAATGTTGGCAGTAGCTGTGCATTGTGTAAGGCATTTGGCATGAGCAAAATGGCGAGTTTATGCGACAACATGACAAATGCATATGTTACAGGTCAAAATAAAGTTCAGGGTTGGGTTGTTCAAAGCAGGGTTAAGTTAACCCAGGGTTAGTGTGAAATTTGATTTCAGACATGAAAGCTTGAGAAGCAAATTCAGGTTTATTCTTTTTGGCTACAATTTGATGATTGGATGCTCTATAAAGAAGACAGAAAATTATCCGACAAAATTCTTTTGAACAAAAGAAAAAGAACCCAGGTTAAAATTTAACCCTGGGTTAGCGCTAATCGGCCTTTGAACAACTGGGCCCAGGTTAAAATTTTCTTCAAAACTATTAAACTGGCAACCCTGCTTTATGGCTAGTGCCAACACCCAAGCTCTGTGTTTTTAATACCTCTTTTATTTTCTTGCAGCGAGCAAATCATGAGAAAGGCGACAAATATTGCAAGGGAGAACCTCATAAGCGTGGGAACCTGCATTGGCAAGTTTACAAAGACAAAACGATTCAGACTTCATGTGACTGCTCTTGACTTCATGGCACCATATGCTAAGGTAAGCCTGTTTTTTTTTTCTTTTTGTTTCATGATTGTTTCTGGTGTTATTATTATGATCTATAATGAAACTTAGTTCTGCTAGTCGACCAGAAAACTTCCTTGGAGCAGGTTATAGCTGGTAACCAAGAGTCTCGAGAGTCTGGCCACCTCTTGAGTCTCAAGAACTCTCTGTAGTATTGTTTCAGTTTCTAGTAACGTGGCCTTCTGTATGTTCCCAGGTCTTACCCTTATTCCAATATTCTGAAGCAATTATCCAGATGATGATGATGATGATTGTTATTGTTATTGTTATTATAATTATTACTTACTTTTGTGCCACAGACCTAAACCTAAATCTAAAGTGAATGCCACAGTTTCAATAGTGATTAACAATTATTTGATGAGGCTGAGTATCATCTGAAGAATTATGGAGATCAAGGAGCGTGTTAAATTGGCCTTGGCAGATAACACCCTCCGAGATCTCCATAATTCTTCAGATGATATGTAAACCAAATTACTATTGAATACAGCTTACAATAAATTTATTAAGCAATTATTGTTTTCTTATTCATTCAAAACAATTCCTGGTTGATCTTCAATAGTGCATGTTTATTGGCAAGTCTAGGAGATAAACGGTTTTTGCTAATATTCTCCAAATAGCAGATGTCGTCCATCAAGTTGTCTTCTTGCTGCTCTTGCTATGTTTTTAGCCAATAGTTGCCTATTTCTTCCTTGTGAATCTGCCATTTTGTACTCACCACCAAAACAACTCAACCTTGTCCCCAGGTTTTCTTGGTTAACTGTTCAGTTTTCTGAGCATTACAATGCACAATTGACATCATTTTCCACATATTGCAAAATCTTCCAAATTTGGTCGACAGTAGCTGGTTATGATAACGTATGCCTATATTAGGATTTTGGCCATCCAGAAACTGAGAAATATTTTCAATGTATGTATAATAATGATAATTTATTGTACTCACAATGGAATTTTTCTAATGAGTTGGAAACAAAAACCCAATCTGTAATTCTAGGCTTATCCAGCAAAATACCAGTAAAGTGTGATATTGATTTTTTTACCTCTTAGTATAAAATCTGGGTCAAACCATCTGGGGAGCAGTCATTTCTATACGGAAATCATATTTTGAAGTCTGGATTAGGAAGAATAACAGAAAATACTCCACAATACCAAGGTGTTATTGTTTACTCCATGAATGATCTTCCACTGGTAAGTGAATTAAACTCAAGTTTAAGTGTTTTTCACCCTTGATTCAAAATGCAGCTTACCCTTCTCTTCACTAACATGCAATCGCTTTCTCATTTCCCTATCTTCCAACAATTTTGCACTTCTAGAAGGAAAAAATTTGTCTTGGAAAAACTTTGTAGTCATCTCAAAGTCTTTGTTTGAGTGGGACATGCCTTGAACATCAAAATAGTCTCTAACTAAATAGTCAAACAGTGCTTCTGAGCCAAGATCTGAGCTGAACTACAATGTAGTCAGTCCTACAGCTGTACTATAAACCAGGTTTGCACAAATATTCAATATTAAAAAAAAAAACCCTTTCAAGAGACTAAACACAGTCAAATGCCAATCTCTTTCCCAGAGGCTGCGATTCTTTTGCACAGCGATGGGGAACACTAACCTCTGGAAGAATAAAAAAATATATCTCTGATTGGCCATGCAATAAAATCGTGTTCATCACATGCAAATTTCTTTGCTAATCAGAAACCTGTGAGCACGTTGATTTGATTTTGACAAGTAATTTGTGTACACACAAATCTCATACGACTTGAAACCGTTAAGAAAAACATTTGCCTCGATAAGTTCTGAAATCACACTACAGTGACATTTTGTTCAAAAGTTCCTTTCTTAATTTTGAAAGTCATTTCAATGCTTTTTTTCAAGAGATGTTATACATCTACAGTCGAACCTGTATTAAGCGGTCACCCTCGGGGAATGGCTAAGTGACCTCTTAATATGAATACAAGGTGACCGCCTAATACAGGTTGCAAGACATACAGTTCAAAGAATTAGATCTCCAGTGCTGATCAGATCAGATGTTTGACCTCAAATAGAGACATTAATTTCCAGCGTTTTAATGATTTGGGAAAATAAACAAGGAAATCAATTGTTGTATCTCGTGTGTTACATCATTTGAAACTATATGAACACAGTGTGAACAAATAATTCACACCGTGTGACCGTTTAATACAGACCAAGGCAATAGAAAAAGTCCAGTTGGGGCTTTGCAAATGGTGAGCGTGACCACTTAATAGAAGTGACCACTTAATAGAGGTCGAAATTACAGTACATCAAGGGAAGTAATTTTCGGGACTTTGAAAAATGACCGCTTAATAGAGGGTGACCGCTTAATACGGTGCCGCTTAATACAGGTTCAACTGTATGCTATTGAGCCTTTCAAATTTGCACACAGCTGTGCTCATTCTGAGCATGAGAGAATGTGTGTCGTCATGACTAACAAATGTTCTTTTGCCGCATTTAAAGAAATAAACATTTTCGGTCTCCTTAAACAGTACGTCCTTTCATGTTACTTGTCTTTCTCTACTAAACACATCGATCAAAGTTCACAGAAAGAAAAACTGCTTTGGAAAGATTAAATTGTAACTATGTGTGAGCAAGGAAAATTTTCCTTGAAAACTTCTCTAAGTCATATGGGTAAACAATTTTACACAGGCACAATTAAACTGGAACCAGGATTTTGTGGTTCCGGTTTTAGATTCTTCAAGAGCGTCCGTTTCCCCATCGGCTGGACAAAAATAACAGAGGCTCTGGGGGCAATACTGGTCTAATGCATTCAGTGGAGAATACTGCCTTTTTTGTTATAGTCCTGGCTCCACATATGCCTGGAGTTTTACATATGACCTTTAGTTTGCACTTTCTAAAGAACTTATTCACTTTGTATAGCTTCTGCACGTACTGTTAGAACAGCAGAAACAAACCAGGCAATAAATTAATAAATACTTAATTATCCTCTCTGAGGTTAATGGAACAAATAATTTAAAAGAAACATAACTGGTAGGAGGCGAACCAATTGGCTATTTTACAAGCATGGCAGAGCATTTGAACTCAGACTAACGGGAACAAATCCAGCTGGCAGTCAGGGCCGGGTTGTTTGAAGCTGGGTTAAGATAACCCAGGGCTAGTGTGAAATTTGAACGCAACTGCGGGAGCTTAAAAAGCAAATTCAGTTTAATTTTCTTTGCCTACAGTTTGATGATTGGATGCTATAAAAAGAATAGAGAAAAGTATCCCAGAAAGTGCTTTTGATAAAAAGAAAAAGAAACCTGAGTTAAAATTCAACCCCAGGTTAGCCATAACCGGCGTTCAAACAACTGGGCCCAGGGCAGTACTTTAACTCGGGCTCATCTGCTCATCCATGCTGCCATCGAGTCAGATCAGTCTATATTTATAGTGTGCACAGCACTGGTAGGTTGTAAAATGCAAAAACTGTTGATAAAACCTATTTTTGATGGGCACCCTGGATTTCATAGCTTCAGGGTTTATTAGTGCAGCCTTTATCTTCCCCAGCTATGGATTTTGTCGTGGCTTATTAGGCTTACTTTCCTTGACAGGGATTTGGTGCCACAGCTCGCTCAACACAGGATTGCCGACGGGCTAACCCCACTGATATAGTCTGCTTCCATCAAGCTGACGTAGGCGAATATTTGCGTTCAGAGGACACTTTAACATAACAAAAAAATGTTAATCGCCCAATGGTTTTCCTTTTAATGCTTACATTTAATTACAGATTTCATCAACAGACCTAAACGTTACATTTACTATTTGCTGTAGAATAAAAAGTACTACAGGAAGGTACTGCTCACCGCCTTTAGGATTTCAAGTTAAAAACCACCTTGTACAGCATAATAAACAATGCTACGGGGAATTAAGACAGTAGAAATTGGGAGGAGGAGAAGGAGTGAAAACAACAAAACTGAGGAGGAGGAGGTGGGAAACATTAGAAATGTGGTGGTGTAAAATTGTCACTTTTCACGATTGATATCGTTACAAATGAACTGTGTTAAAACAAAAGGACGATGTAGGGTCAATGTGGGATCGATGTAGGGTCGATGCGGTCGAGGGAAAATAAAAATAAAAAGGAAAATTAGAACAGGAAAATAAATTAATGGTGGAAGATTAGAAGGGGTGTGAGATAAGTGAAACATTGTCTTTCGTACTAAAAAGAACTAGTTTGCCTTTGCCATCATTAATATGCACGATTTGCACTCCCTAGAATCAGTGAACCGGAACTAGGTCAATGACAGCGGCAGAAAATAGAACGTGCAAAATTACGTTACTGCTCAGTGATTGTAAGTCACATGCTAGTTTGGCTTTATTCCTCAGACACCATGAAAAAACTAATGAAAACTTTCCATATTTTCTAATCAACCAATAGAAAACCAAGAAATTTACCGACTAAAAGTAACTAGAAAACCTGTCAGACCAGTTAAACCACTTTGAAATAGCACATGACCTTATATTAATGAATCTTAATGACAATCCGCCGCAATTTATTCATGAGATAAAGGTAAAATGTTATGACGTCATCTGTGTTAATGTATTCCAAACCAAAATTAATTAAATCCATTAAAAACGGATAATTCGGTCCCTACTATACTACTAAAGGTTGCTTTCCATTGACGCGTTTTTGGCGACGCACATAAATGCACGTAAATTTTAATCACGTAAATGAAATTGAGGCAAGATATAAAGTGTTGAGATTAAACGTTAAGTTGAGCGAGATTCTACTTTTACGCTTACGTGCGACCTTTCATACATTGCCTCTTTTTTGCGAACGTAAATTTTACGCGCCGTAAAAATTACGCGACAGTGGAAATCAAGCCTAACGTTCTTTCTTTGGTTCTTCATCTGTACTGTCAGCCTTGGCTAAACAGGGGATGACAGCATATCGGACAGTTTCGTCTGAAACACAGAAAGAAGCAAACAAAATTACATTAAAAATAAATTATCTGAATCACTTCGGTCTCAGGCTTCAAATGGCTTAGGTTGGGGAGATTGAAAGGGGAAATGGGGGATGGGGAAGAGGGGGCTAAATTCCCCACTCTGCCGCCCAGAGGCGGTATTAAAAATAAATTATCTGAATCACTTCGGTCTCAGGCTTCAAATGGCTTAGGTTGGGGAGATTGAAAGGGGAAATGGGGGGATGGGGAAGAGGGGGCTAAATTCCCCACTCTGCCGCCCAGAGGCGGCGCAGTGGTGAAAGCAAAAGCAAGCGCGGGCCGCTATAGGGGGTTTTTGGTGCACGCCTTTTTTTTCCTTGGTACTCCGGTTATTTCCATCTTCCCGAAAACAACATTTCCAAACTCCAATTCAATCAGAAATGGCCTGGCAGAGGAAAAACCACTATGTAGACGTGCGACCTAGAAATCATTATTGCTTATTATTTATTTATATTTATCTACTGCTGTTGGCCACTTACAGTCCGTTCTGAATCATAGCGATGGCACACTCCTTATGGACCTTGTGCGAGCATGGCAGGATCTGGCAACCGCTGAACGCATCCTGTGTAAAGGACAGAAAGTTGGTTTAATTACAACGGAAACATGTTGAATCCTCTCTCGACAAGCTTGCTGTCGGTGAACAACACGCATGCGCTTCCTTCTCTTTGTCTCGGTTATTGCTGTCGGGCAGTCGCATAAAGGTTTTACCTTTAATTGATATTAAGCAGTCAATGTTTATGCACCACCTGTCAGTTGCAATACCGATACCGTGGATACTGATAACGGGGAATTTAACACCTACAAACACCCATTAACCATCGCTCATTTCACATCACTGACGTTCCACCAAATCAAACAAAACACAGCTCAGTCTCCGTACGTCACTTATTTCCGACTTTGTTGCAAACTTCATCAAAGTTTAGTAACAAGACAATGCTCGTCTATTCGACAAATGCTTTACTGTCGCAGGTGTACGTCAAGTCTTCGTGCCACCTTATCAGTCTACCTCGTTCCAAGGGACAGGTTGGAGAGGACCCTGGAAACGAGGTTGCTTATCAGTCCCCTTTTAATAGTGGGAAATAGTGCCTCTTCACTTACCTCTAAACATACACAACACTCGTCGTGTCCGGAATTGGGCCTGCACTTATGTTTCCCTTCAAGTCGTTTGTCCAGACACACGTTGCAAACATCACAGTGAAACGATTTGTCCTTGTGGGTACTGTTAAAGACAAAAAACGTAAAAGATTGATAGATTTTCCTCCGCTTTACGTAAATGAAGCCCTTGCAGAGCCAATAATCGTTATGCTCTTTCTCCAGCGCAGAAAAAAATTCCAATGCTATCACCGTGATCACATGAATTTGCACTCGCAAACACGCCCCCCTTACGCACATGCGTGAAGTCGCATCTAGGTGAAGTCCTCGTGAAGTCCTCTTTCGGTTTTCAGGCCATCAACTAACGACTCTACAAAACCAACGGCAACCACGCGAAAGAAGGACTGATTTTTCTTAAGCTATCCCTTGAGTCCTTTGAATATTGCCTGTGTTATTTTAGAAGAGGTGACAAATTTTTGTGTTCTTAGGCCCACGCAAAACGTCGAACTTTTCATGAGACGAACCAAACTTAGTGAGTTAAGTTTATGAGAAGTTCGAGGTTTTGCCTAGGCCTTAATAAGTCGACGTCTAAAGAAGGAAGCTAAAGGAACAGTTGAAAATGGTTGTAACTGAGTATCGGAACTCCTATCCGCAATAACTTACTTGTAAATGCCACATTTATCGCAGTGAAATGGATATTTTTCCACCCCAGTAAAATGTTTGCATATGAAACAGAAATACGGTGACATTTGTTCGCCGCAGCCACTGCAATACTGGCTTCCTTCATTGATCTAAATTTCCCAAAAAAGAGAGAGAGACGGAAAGGAAACAGATAGTTACGACAAGTGCAAAGTAACTTAAAGTAGAGTATGAAACACTGTAAGCTGTACACTCAGCTCCGGCAATGATTCCTTACAATATCGGTATAACTCTATTTACGATTACATGAAAATTGACCACTTTTCCAACCATTGGTTCTTTTTCTGTACTGAGAATTTGTCTACTTTCTGCAGAAACATTGCCGCTCAATTTAGTGAAAGAAAGAAAAACGACAGGTCGCTATACTCGTTTAGGAGATAAATGAAGATTTACCTCTTGCGATCTCCACCCCCAAAGAAACACCATTTTTAATGTGCGCGCGCTAATCAACCGTGCAGTTGAAGAATACGCGAAGCTAAACAATTCTTACGAATAACCGTAAGAACAAAGTCACTGACCTCTTCCTCGTGTCCACAGATGCCACACTTGACATGCGTCGCATTATTCGCCTTCCTGTCATCAGTATCACACGCCCCCGATGTATTGTGACAGTGGTGACACGGGTAGAAGATTCCACAGCAAGGAAACTTTACGCTGCAACGCCGCTGATAATGCTCGCATTGCCATCGTGGACTCTCTTGAACAGGTACCCGTTCTCCCCCAAACCACTTTGTTTCCCTTTCGTCACTTTCTATCGGTTCTCTCCTTTCTCTTTCCTTCTTTTCTCTTTCTTCTCTTTCCCTTATTTCTCTCTCTTGCCATTCTCTCATTTTTCTCTCTTCCCTTTCTCCTTCTTCTCTTTCTCTCCTTTCTCTTTCTTCTCTTTCCCTTATTTCTCTTGCCTCTCTTTCTCTTTGTTCTCTCAACTCTCTTTTCTTTCGCGCTGCCTTACGCTGCGCTTTTGTTCTTTCTTCGCGTTCTTTCATAACCCTTTCAACTACTGCGCATGCCTCCGCCACCTTGCGTTCTAGTGCGGCAAGTGAGGGGACATCCGGGAACTCAGGTGATAATGCCAAAGCACCATTTCCCTGATCCTTTCTCCTATTATCTGATATTTCAGATGAAGTCACAGGATGAACATGTTCTTGGTTTTCTGTAAACGAATTGGGTGTGGAAGGCTCCAGGAAACGTTCTTTCCCTTTTTCAGGCAACACACTGGATTGATAGCTGTATGAAGGTATACTCCAGGATGTTACACTCGCACTAGGCTGCAACTCCGTGACTGGTGCAGTGACGTTGGGACTTACCACGGGCGCAGGCGATTTTACTGTAGGTAACCTTAATGCAGGTGGCTCATCATTCCAGTTACTTTGTCTCCCACTTTGATAACTGACGACGGAAGGGTGCAATACACTTGACTGAGGCCATCGATGTTTCAAATCATTTGTTTCAGTCATTGCAGGAGGTGGTAGACTCCATACGGGCCAATTCGTAGGTGGAGTCAATTCTCTCGTTTGTTTAAAATCACCAGGCTGCGAGACATGTTGTAGACTTTTATCTGTCGTATGTCGCGCAAGGAAATTTTGATTGATACCTGTCGCATCTAGGGATGGTATTCTGCTGTTGTAAAAGTAATTTAATTCCGCCCCATTTACTCGAGGTAACCTCAGTGACGAAGTCTTCGATCCTAGGCTTGGTGGATAACTCGTCGTAGGTACCTTTGCAGTGTTCTCATTACTCGTAAGCAACGTTTTCGCTTTAGCCCCCGGCGGCTTTTTGTTACCATTGTTGTCCCCCGCTGTAGTTCCGATTGTCCGAGATTTGACTAGGTCATCCAAACCAGCGTTAACTGGTAAGCTAAGTATGGTGTCCTTGGTAGCTAATTTAAAATCTTTGAAACTTTTCCCTGGTACAAGGCTTTCAACAGGTAACGAGCTCGATTTGGCCACAACTTCTTCGGATTCAGCATCATTTTTATTTTCATAATCAAACTCCCCACGGTTACCACGGTCTCTATCACGGTCTTTAAAGAAAGTTTTCGCTCTAGCCCCCGATGGCCTTTCTTTACCATTGTTAACCGCTGTAGTCTCGATAGTCTGAGATTTGACTTCCTTATCGAAGCCAGTGATATCTGCCAAGCTAAAGGTGGTGTCCTTGGTAGCTAATTTAACATCTTTCATTCTTTTGTCTGATACAATGTTGTTTTCGGTTAACGAGCGGGATTGTGTCACAAGGTCGTCGTCATCAGCATCATCATTTTCATCATCATCATCACCATCGTCATGGTCAACCTCATCACTGGCCATCATTTCTCCGTGGCTAGCACCAAGTTCATTGACATCACATTCAGCAACCCTACGGGTGTTGCGTTTCGGGCCGTGATTTTCAACCTCGCTTTTATGTTCATTATCATCGTCAGCGGAACTCTGTGAGTGGTACTGTTCTTCATTGCTCATGTTGTGTTCTTTGGTTGAGTTACCCGTAGCCCCTGCAAGGAAGAGGATTGGCGAGGTCAGCAGGCAATACCAGTATCAAAATTAGCAAACAAAATGGACCAACGAATAACGAACACCAAGCTAACATATGGCATATTTTTTGCAATCCTGTTAAAAAGTTAAAAAATGAAATGAAACTGCTTCACACTTTGCACTCCAGAACATGCAACTGCTGCATGCATAGGCTACGAAAAAAAACATCGCTTTTTAAATGTTGTCCACTTAAAATGGGATTGATTCCAGACTCTCTCCGAAATTTCAAAAAGATAAAACAACATGTATTATAAACGCTCATTTTTTTTCTGTATATGAAATCCCCTCGACAAAGAAACTACCTCGTCTTTCATTGTAATATTTTAAAACTCGTTTTAAAAAAGTATAAAAAGCGATGGCTTATGCAACGTTATGCCTTTAGAAAACAATTACAACATGATTGATTGATGGAAATGCTACTTTTTCTCAAGCGACCTGACATTAGCCAAAAAACGTTTTGCAGCTAGCCCTCCCATGACACACTGCTCCCCTCATTATGATAGCATCCCCTGAGAAAGAGGCAGTACACCTTCAGGTAAGAGGCGAACACTGTCAAATGTTATTACTAGGCGGAATTCGCCTAAAAACAGCCAAAACACAACCATATGGTGGTTAGCTCCTCCAACTACGTTCAAGCGCCAATCAATGCTATTGCAGTTTACCGGAGTTATGGGGCAACTACTACCTTCGAGAAATTAAATAAGGGAGTGAAAAGAAGAGAACGCCGAGAATATACATGCACCTACTAACTGCAATAACATTGGCCGCATTTACACTAGAAGACGTCTTAAACGTCCCGACGCATTAAACGTCTGAATGTTAAGTGCGTTGTTAAGTGCGTCCCGTTTTTATATTCAACGTCTGAGACGACTAATTCATCTGTTAAGTGCGTCGATCGGACGCACTGAACTCGTCTGACGTTTAATGCGTCTGCCTTTTGATTTCCCGT